CCTCTCAGGCAAGAAACCACTCAAAACACGATGAGGAAAGAGTTGCCTCCTTAAAGTAGAGTTGACTTTAATGACATAGATGGAGTCAAGCTTTCGGGACCTTTATTTGCTGATGTGGCAGGACTCAAAAAGAGAAGAAACAGCTGCAAACATCCATTCATAATTAAAACATGCAATGTAAGAACTATGAATCTAGGAAAATAGGAAGTTGCCAAAAATGAAATGGACCTCATATAGTTCTATATCCTAGGCATTAGTGAGCTGAAATTGACATTTTGATTTGGACAATCGTATGGTCTACTATTCTGGGAATAACTTGAAGAGCAATGGCATTACATTCATTGTCAAAAAGAACATTTCAAGATCTATCCTGAAGTTTAACGCTGTCAGTGATAATATTCATATGCCTATAAGGAAGACGAGTTAATACAACTATTATTCAAATTTACACGCCAAACACTAATGTCAAAGATAAGGAAACTGAAGATTTTTATCAACATCTATAGTCTGAAATTGATCAAACATGCAATCAAGAAGCATGGATAATTACTGGTGATTGGAATGCAAAAGTTGGAAACAAAGAAGGATGGTAGTTGGATAATATGGCTTTGGTGATAGAAACAATGCAGTAGATTGCATGATAGAATTTTGCAAGACCAACGACTTCTTCATTGCAAATACCTTTTTCAACATCAAAAACAGAGACTACACACGTGGATCTCCCTAGATGGAAGACACAGGAATCAAATTGACTACGTTTGTGGAAAGAGACAATGGAGAAGCTCAATGTCATGAGTAAGAATAAGGTCAGGAGCCAACTGTGGAACAAACCATCAATTGCTCATATGCATGTTCAAGCTAAAGCTGAAGGAAATTAGAGCAAATCCATGAGAGCTAAAATACAATCTTGAGTATATCGCACCCGAATTTAGAGACCATCTCAAGAATAGATTTGATGCACTGAACACTAATGACCAGACAAGTTGTGGAATGACATCAAGGACATCATACACAAAGAAAACAAGAAGTCATTAAAAAGACAGGAAAGAAAGAAAAGACCAAAATGGATGTCAGAAGAAACTCGAAACTTGCTCTTGAACATTGAATAGCTAAAGCAAAGGAAGAAATGATGAAGTAAAAGAGCTGAACAGAAGATTTCAAAGGGCAGCTCGAGAAGACAAAGTAAAGTACTACAATGAAATGTGCAAAGACCTGGAGTTAGAAAACCAAGAGAGAAGAATACTTTTGGTATTTCTCAAGCTGAAAGAACTGAAGAAAAAATTCAAGCCTCAGTTTGCAATATTGAAAGATTTTACAGGGAAAATAATTCAAAGACACAGGAAACATCAAAAGAAGATGGAAGGAATACACAGAGTCACTGCACCAAAAATAATTGATTGATATTCAACCATTTCAGGAGGTAGCATATGATCAACTGATGGTACTGAAGGAAGAAGTCCAAGCTACACTGAAGGTATTGACAAAAAACAAGGCTCCAGGAATTAACGGAGTACCAAGTGGGATGTTTCAACAAACAGATACAGAGCTGGAGGTGCTCACCCATCTATGTCAAGAAATTTGACCAGCTACCTGGTCAACCAACTGAAAAAGATTCATATTTGTACCCATTCCAAAGAAAGGTGATCCAACAGAATGCAGAAATTAATGAACAGTATCATTAATATCACACACAAGTAAAATTTTGCTGAAGGTCATTCAAAAGTGGTCATAGCAGTACATGGATAGGGAACTGCCAGAAATTCAAGCCAGATTCAGAAGAGGATATGGAA